GCCTTCTTTAAAATTCAATGCATATGTAAAGAAATATACGGTAACCCGAATTTACCACACTCGCAAAATCGCACACAGCCAACCATACACCCAGTATGGTATCGCGATTCGTGATTTTGCGCTATCATACTGGGTGTATGGTCGGCTGTGTGCGATTTTGCGAGTGTGGTAAAATCGCGTAACAGCAAAATCGCATAACAGCCGAGCATACACCCAGCAGCGCTGCTGATGCCTGAACGGTATGTGGAATGAAGTGGGCGGGCATCGGGAGGCCACTATGGCACGGGGCAAGCACTATGGGCAGTCTATCTGAAGTGTACCTGGCGTATAAGACGACCCCCCACTTGGAGGCATATTTTTCAGGGCCAAAAAATCGTCTTATATGCCGGCAAATACAGTAATAAAAGGCTAATATGTAAATTGTCCCCTCTACCAGGAGTTCCACCAGGAGTTCGACCAGGGGGCAGGGCCCCCAGGCCAACTGCCCATACCCCCTCCCCCCAACTGGCCCTGCCCATGATCCCCTATCTGTGCATGAATTTGTGCACTAGGCCTCTAGTTTGACAATAAAAAAAGTGCTGATATAATGCTACAACATGGAGGCCCTTGAAAACATTATGCTAAGTGAAAGGAGTTAGACACAAAAAGACACATACCATTTATATGGAACTTTCAGATCAGGTGAATCTATAGAGATAAAAAGTGGTTGCCTGTGGCAGTAGGAGGGTGATGGAGAGTGATTGCTGATGGGTAATAGAATTTCTTTTTAGAATGATGAAAGTGTTCTAAACTTGATTGAGGTGATGATTTGCCTCACTGTGGATATACTTAAAACCATCGAAATATCACATTAAATTGATGGAGTGTGTGGTATGTGAATTATATCTCAATGAAACTATTACAAAAATGCATTTGGGTAACACATTAGAGTGATGAAAGCTAAAATATTTAAACTTGTTAAATAACCTTTTTGCTTTCTTTTTTGATTGGCCAAAGAATGCAGTGATATTTATCATTAATTCAGTAACGTATTATTACCACACCAGAAGGGACTGACATTTTACATATATATTTTTACAGTATTATTCTTGATACAAAACAAAGTTACCACAAATGGTCAAGAAAACCTTCTCAGAACATTCTTAATTTGAAAACCATAAAAAATCCTTCGTATTAGTGGGATTTTATAGTATGACTTTTCAAATCATTAGTTTTTTTTTATATTTTATGTAGAAATCTTTTCTCTGGAAATTTGCCCATGCAATCATAAGATTCTAAGTATGACATCCAAAATCCACCTCATGTTTATTCTATAAGCTAGTCTTGAAGATATTTGACAAGAAAGTGATTTATAATAGAGCAGTTAGATAAAGAAGCCCAACAATATCACTGTTCTTTTTGTGCTAATGGTAAGCATGATAATAACTATAACACTTACATGGCATTTATTACCTGCCAAGGACTCTTCTAACTGTGTATCTATCTATCTATCTATCTATCTATCTATCTATCTATCTATTTATCTATCTATCTATCATCTATCTATCTTTAATTCTTCTAGCAACTTTTATTAACACCATTTTACAGATGAGAAAACTGAGGAATGGAGCATTTAAACTAACTAGCCATAGGTTATTCAGCCAGAAAGTGATAGAGCTGGGAGTCCCTGCTTATCAGCAGCACACTAGACTGCAATTTAATGGGGTCCTCAACTAGTGATTTAAAGAGTTACAAATATAATGGCAAGACAGATGTAAAACAGAATTATACAACTATCGCATTCTACTGTGACAACTCTTGCAAACAAACAAGTAGGCAAGTTTTTTTTTTTTCCATTCTGTTGGGAAAAGTAGAATTTATTCCTAGAACGGTTTATGGTTTGACAAGATAGAATGGCCACTTTATTCACTATTAGCCAGGTCTTCCTTGTCACGTGGTTTTGAAAACCTAATTGATCTATATATTCCTTCTCATTTTGTAATCATTATAATGGGAAGATAAATTGCAGTTCACTATTTTACCAGCTGTGAAGTGGGAAAGAATATTAAGAATGTAATGAGGAATGCTTAATTAAGAGAAAATGTTTCAAGCATTTCACTTATTGCAGAGCTATCTAGTCTAAATATGCTAACTGCCACAATCTCATCCAATCACTAGAGCTGGTTCCCTAAAAGCAATTTACTAAGCAAAGAGTTTTAGCTAAGTTGTAGGAAATTGCAGTTCCTCAGATGGTTAGATTTTTTGTTATAACAGACTGCCTTTCCAGACTCTTACAACCATGCTAGTGCCTTTTTCATAGAAACTCATTGAATAAATGTTGAGTTGCTTTTCAGAGTTTGCTTTGCATGTGTTAATGCAGTATGCAGATAAAAGGTAAAAGCCAACTCATTGAACCAAAGACCAAGCTACAATAAAAGAAATCTAAGATGCAGAATTTAGAGCATACAGAATAGAAAGAAAGAGAAACAGTTCATTTTACTGCACTTTGAACTTTAGGAGCTTTAGGTTGGCATAGAGCAATGGTTCTCAATCTTCTGGCCCTTTAAATACAGTTCCTCATGTTGTGACCCAACCATAAAATTATTTTTGTTGCTATTTCATAACTGTAATTTTGCTACTGTTATGAATCATAATGTAAATATCTGATATGCAGGATGGTCTTAGGGGACCCCTGTGAAAGGGTCGTTCGATCACCAAAGGGGTCGCGACCCACAGGTTGAGAACTGCTGGCATAGAGACTGTCTTAGGGGGCAGCCCCTACTGGTGACTTTTAATATGGAAGCTCAGCTCTACCAGATTCTGTAACTGCCTAGAAATAGCAGGAAATAGCTGGAAAGCTACTACCCAGAGCTATCACTGAAATCTGAGGATCGAAATGGAAGGAATACACCTTATTCTTCTAACCAGGAGAGAATGTCTATTCTGGAGTCGGGAAATTACTGCCTGTTCAGATTAAAGCGGGGGTGGGAGGATGGGGCGCTTTAGAAAATGGACAGTGGACAGTCACTGTATTTGGAGTCAATGCAGGGAAGTCTGGTGTAGAGTGTGGAATTGCCTTTGAACTAGAGGCTTTTCCAACATACATACCTGCTCCTGTGACTACCTATTCTGCTTCGCAAATTGGAATTGAGGCCAGCGAGCACAGTTCTGGCACAGAGCAAGCCCACAGTGGATTCTTGTTAGCTGGAGAGAGAGCATGTGGAAGTGCTTTGTCTCTTGCAAAAAACATCCTGCAAATGGAAGACAGTAAGTGCTCAATAAATGACTGTTTATACCCGTATGCACTTATTCTTATGTAAAGTCATCACACTTTTCTTTATTCCTCTCATTATCTACCAAGGAGGGCAGGGCTCCATGTCTGAGATCCTTGTTCCACTATTTATCAGCCTTAACCAAACTTGGAAGCCTATGTCAGTGATTGTTTTCATGGGCTATTAGGTACTTGGAGAACAACATTGGAGACAGGGTGGGGACAGAGGGCTTAGTGGGTCAGACAGCATGCTTGCAAGCAGCTGTTCCCAGTGGCACTGCCAGAGGGGCCATAGGAGCTATTTTCATCAGGGCTGTCTGGGATGGTGCCATCCTGGAAGAGTTCAGAGAGAATACCAACTACTCAGGTCTGCAGAGAGTCTTTTTTTTTTTTTCCTGTGGATTTGAAAATATTTTTTAGGTTGGATAGAAGAAGTGAGATGAAGAGAGAAAACACACCGGGAGTGTGGGACAAGATAGTGTTTCCTATGTGCAGTTTTCAGATCCTCAGCTTGTGCTAGGGTGTGGCAAGAGGGGACAAATGCCAAAGCCCCCAGCTCAGGGAAGCCCATGGCAGCTGCAGAGGAGGAGATAGTTAGCAGCTAGTGTCATCAGGAAAGGCTCAAAGCTTGCCACTTTTAAGCCTCAGCTGCTACTTGTGGTTCTATTATTGCTGTGGGGTTTTTGTGTGTGTGTGTGTGTGTGTGTGTGTGCTTGTTTATTTGTTTCAATCCTGCTGCAAATATATTAAAGAAAGGATTTTTTTTTTTTTAATGTTAAAGAAAGATTTAGCATGTCCTTCCACAATATTAGGACCTACAGATTCTGGTTCTGATATTTGCCCAGAGATTCCAAGCCATGGCCCAACACCAATTGAGGTCTTGGCCTTATTTAGTTCATCCAGCTCTGGGGGGCTCTCCGTTGGGTGGCAAAATTACCACGTATTACAGCTACAGAGAACTGAACCGTGTGTTTTGTGACAGATCAGGCAGGATTCAGAAGAACCAGTTTTAGCCCAGAATGCTCATTAGCTACTCTGATCTTGATTTAAGGTAAGGTAAACAAATTAACATTCTGATGTACAATCTTTATCATTAAGAAAGTCTCATTTCATGCTATCCTAGTTTCATTAGGCTTAGGTTAGTTGCTGCATTTTTATTATCTGTGAAGTTTGGCCATTTTCTAACAACTTGTGAAATTCTGGAAGAATACACTATGAGTGGCATCTTGGCAGAAAAAGCGAGGAGGATTTGGAAGAAGGTGGTGTAGAGATATATACGCAATTATGGGCTGGCCTGAGAACAACCAATATATGAAAGGGCAAATTTATAAAGCAAATATATTAAGAAAGGATCATTTTTTTTCCATGTTAAAAAAAATTTAGTATGTCTTTTATTGAAAATCTTGGGCTAATTTGCTATTTAAAGTGCAATTCTCGCCCAGTCATTGTGGCTCAGTGGATTGAGTGTCCATCCATGGACCAAGAGTTTGAGTGTCCATCCATGGACCAAGAGTCCCCAGTTTGATTCTCAGCCTTCAATGGATAAATTTTAATAATGGATTAGACATAGCTAAAAAGAGAATTAGTGAATCAGAAGGTAGAACAGAAAACTATCTAGGCTGAAACATTGCTCGGGGTGGGCTTAATCCCCAGTAGGCTGTGTGTACAGCCTATTGATGTTTCTATCTCTCTCTCTCCCTCTCTCTTCCTCTCTATCTAACCTTAATAAAAACATATTTAAAAAAGTAATTCTATTTATAAATTTTGCACACTATTTTCAGGCACATATATCGAGTCCAGAATAGCATGAATTTCTTGAATTGTAGAAATTCTGTTTTGCTTCCCAATTCCTTTCCTCTTCCACAGGAGGAAGGAGAATGGAGTAAACTTAGGTCCTGTCTTCGTTGAATGTATTTCTTTTTAATTCTACTTACCCTCACTTTTTAACTTTTCCATTAACAAAAGTGACTTTCACAGAATATATTTCCTGAAAAAAAGCAAGTGTTTATTCGCTGTGGTGATATATGGCTATTTTACATTGAGGTATAAAGCGCCCCTTGTATCATCTTTAGTTAAGCAATAACAAGGTTGATGAAATATAACTTTATTAGCCTTGGCTGGGTGGCTCAGTTGGTTATAGCATCATTCCAATATGGCAAGGTTGTGGTTTTGATTCCCAGTAAGGGCACATACAAGAATAAACCAATGAATGCATGGCTAGATGGAACAACAAACTCATGTTTCTCTCTCTCTGAAAAAGTATTAAAATAAAATAAAATAGACCTTTACCAAAGCTCTTACTTAATGTACTACTTTCTTCTTTTTTTAAAATAAGAGTTGATTTGAGCCTAACTGACATATTCCAGGGAGGAATATCTCAAATGCTCCTCTATTTTCTTCTTAAGAACTGACATAACAAAGTTTAGATCTGAGGTGTTAAGACAATAATCTAATGCATACCCATGACTCATTTTCCTTCACAGTTGTTAGATTTTATCTTATTAATGACTGGCTTGTAGAATCCAACCATCAAACATAACAATAGATATAACCTAAGTCATCATAAAAAAGGATGAATAGGCCTTGGCTGCCATGATAAAGAACATTTATCCTGATGCCACATTATCAGAGCCATAAGTTACCACAAAGTATTTAAGGATATCCATATACAAGGAATAAGAGTGAACTCGTGCTTTTTCCTCCAACATTTTACTATGAAAAGTTTAAAGGATTTTATAGTGATCAGTCATCCGCCAATTAGATTCCACAATTATCATATTACCATACTTGCTCTAGATATCCTTATAGCCCTTCTTCTATTCACTCATCAGGTCATCTTATTATTTTTTCTTTTTTAGGCATTTGAAGTAAATTGCAGACAATAATAAACTTCTAAAACCATTAACATACAGCCCAGCCAGTGTGACTCAGTAGTTGAGTGTCAACCCCTGAACCAAGAGGTCACTGGTTTGATTCCTGGTCAGGGCACATGCCCGGGTTGCAGGCTCAATCCCCAGTGGGGGGCATGCAGGAGGCAGCTAATTTATGATGTTTCTCTCTCCTCAATGTTTCTCTCTATCCCTCTCCCTTCCTCTCTCTCTACAATCAATACAAAAATTAAAAGCTTTAACATACAATTTACTAGTTTGTATTCACTTATTTGTTAATGGCTCTTTAAGAGATAAAACTTATGTACAATGAAATGCACCATTTGGTGAGTATTGACAAAGTTATACACCTATGAAACCAAAACCCCTATCTGGATATCTTTGAATGCTTTGGGGTCAAGAAACAGAAAATCGACCTAAACAACTTGACCCCCATATTTGAAATCCAGGAGACTCATTCTTGGTAGTTCTGTTGGGTCTCTCTCATATAGCTCCTTTATGTATCAGCTCTTTCTTTGGTTGGCTTCATCCTTAAGCCTGTGATGGAATAGGAACTTTAGGCCTCACATGGCCCATAATAATGTCAAGGGGAAGAGAGGGAACATTTCCACCTAGGATCTCAAACAGAATTCCTAAAATTTGTGCTTAGGTAACATGCCTGCTCATGAACCAATGAGATTATGGCTAGGGAAGTGGATGACACAAGCCAAGTAGGCATCTCCCCGCAAAACACACACATTCTCTATTTCTGTCTCTACCTCTATCTCTCAAGGGTCATTCTACAGTTCACACATTCCATTTCTACCATTTCCAGAAATTTTTTGCTTGCTCATATAATTTTCTTTTACTTTGAGAAAGGGGAAAAAAATCCATTAGTATAGGTTGTTTTGAGAAAAAATGAATAGTGTAACATGTTATAAAATACTCCAATAAAAACAAAAAGTCGTTTATTCCTCTGCAAGTGTGAAATTTTGGGGCAGGAAGTCAAAACTGTGAGTCTTAAATTCTTTTTCACACAACTATACATCAACTTACTTTACAAGAATTTCTTTAAACAAACCTTATTTTAGGTGGGTGCTACCATTTTTCATTTGCTCAGCTCATAATCATTGAGTGTCTATTATATGTAAAGCATTACAGTACTTGCTATGAGTGACACAAAGTGAAATAAGAGAGACTTCTTCCTCTTGAGGAGCTCAAACTATATTCTATCCAGCATGTGTACAAAGTAGAATTCATGACCTAAAACCACATTATATTAAAGACAACCATTTTGTTTATCAGTAAGGAAAAAACTAAAAACTGGAGAGAAATGGTCATGTATTTTGCAAGTTATGTGTTTGGAAAGAGAACACAAAAATCACATTTTTTCCTATATAGGAGAGAGAAGCGACACTTCCAGATAGAATAACCAAATGACACTATACATATATTCTTATACTTTTTCTGAAATAATACTGTCTCCTTAGAACTATGATAGTCTACTTATAATTGTCATATTCCCTTGCCTTCTTTTCCTTTTCAGAACTCAGCGGAAATGTTGCAAAGCTGAAGGAAAGGTGGGATTTATGTTTTGAAGCCAAAAGGTGACTCAGCAGTGGCATGAGGGGCTCTGCCACCCTGCATATCCCCTGCAGGGGCCTTCTCAATGCTGCTTCACTAGTTCTATAATCAATCCCTGCACCCCACCTCGATGCTAGCTAGACACTGGCTTGGGTGCTGGGAACAGGAGGAGGACCTTTATTTCAAAGACTGCCTTCTGTGATTACTTGTATCTCTCTGAGTTTCAAGACCACACTTTTGACCTTCTGTGTATCAGGGACTTTACAGTCACTTTCCTGGTTCAAGATTTCCAAAACTGTTAAGATAAACCATCTGCAAAATAATGAAAAGAATGTAAATTTCTAAATAGCATATCTGGGCTTGCTCAAGGCAAGAGTCCTTTGTTCACTTCTATTTGTCCAGAGGCAACATTAATTTCATAAAGGTATGGGTGCCTCAAAGGAGTGGGTGCCAAGGTGGGGAAGGGCAAATACATTACATGTATCTCATGTCTCATATATCCTTGTATAACAATTTATTTTAAAATTTACAAAATAGCCCTGACCGGTTTGGCTCAGTGGATAGAGCATTGGCCTGCGGACCAAAGGGTCTCAGGTTTGATTCCAGTCAAGGGCATGTACCTTGGTTGCGGGCATGTCCCCAATGGGGGGTGTGCAGGAGGCAGCTGATGGATGTTTCTCTCTCATTGATGTTTCTAACTCTCTATCCCTCTCCCTTCCTCTCTGTAAAAAATCAGTAAAATATATATTTAAAAAAAAATTTACAAAATATATACAATATAGTTCAATAAATTCATATGTTCATAATTCAATAAAAAAACATTGAGAGACATTGAAAAGAAATTATTGAAAATCTACAGCTGGGAAGTGTTGAAGGTGCTGTCAGGCATTATAGCTAAGAAGGATACTTAGAAAAGGAGGCTATGCTTCTAGAATAACAGAAGACGGCTGCCTCAGAAACCCCAGCAAGCCAAGAGGGCTCAATGACAAAAGTGGGACACAGGCCATATACCCAGGATAACAACTGTGAATCCATGAGGCGACACACAGCCTACAGTGTGGGAAACTGGTCAGAAGTCGGCCCTCCAGTGCTGGGTTGCTACTCCTCTCTAATGAGCTTGTGGTTCAATACAGAGATCTTCTCATAACTTGTAGAGACACTGGGGACAACAGAGTTAGAGACGAGAATCATCGCAGAGGAGGGTGATCAAGGCATATATTTTTATATGTGGGTTGTAAAGATGTATAGTTGGGCAATTCAGTAATAAAATAATAATAAATAGTGAAGTGTCAGGTCCTGTTCTGTGCATTTACATGTATTTTATTTTATTGAGTCCTGATAATGGTAGAAACTAAGGCATATAGAGTGGTTTAAGTAATAAAGGGGATTCCTTGGCTTATGTAATATTACATTTAAGAACTAGGTAGACACCTCGTGGATTCACAGTTCTTATCCTAAGTATATGGCCTGTGTCGCTCTTTTGTCATTGAGCCCTCTTGTCCTGCCAGGAGTTTCTGAGGCAGCCATCTTCCATTATACTAGAAGCATGAAGTTTGATCAGGATTCCAAGTCTATTTCACTTAAGTTCTCTTGATTCTCTCCTTTTCAGTGCATTAGCTTTGCCTTCACAAAGGCTTCCTTTGTAGTTATATTTCATAGCTACCAGCATCAATCAAGACTGAAGAGAGTCCAGCTGGCATGCTCAATGATTGGGCATCGACCTATGAACGAGGAGGTTACAGTTAGATTCCTGGTCAGGGCACATGCCAGGGTTGGGGGCTTGATCCCCAGTAGGGGGTGTGCAGGAGGCAGCCAATCAATGATTCTTTCTCATCATTGATGCTTCTATCTCTCTCTTCCTCTCCCTCTCTGAAATCAATAAAAAAATAAAATAAAATAAAAAGACTGAAGAGAAAGGGCTGGCTGCCATCAACGAGCAACAAACATCTTGAACTTTCATGTTTTTGGACTATCTTTACTCCCAGACTCACAAGATATGAAAGCAGAGCAGTCCATCACTAGTTGTCTTAGGCTTACCCATCTGCAATGTTGTGGCAAGGAGGATGGAATTACCCTGACTGTCTTAGGTCAGTCAGCATCCCTTTGTGGATAGAGGTGGGACTGTAGCTGCTACTATGGAGAAGTGTTCATTGAGTACTGAGGACAAGCACCATGTCCTCCACAAAAAGATAATTTGGGCTCAATGATGAGAAACCATTGAAAGGTTTTTGAGCAGGGTACGATGGGATTAAGGCCATCTTTTAGGAGAAATAAAATTGGGAGGGGAGCTTATACAGAGAAGAAAGTACCCACAGGAAAACCACAAGAAAGATACAACTTGGAAAAGGTTAGGAGACATTGGCATACATGTGGGACTCTGCTGTTTTCAATGTGATTTTCCCTGTAAACCTCCCCACCATGCCTATCACCTATTCAGCACCCATATGCACCCTCCCTTAACTCACCCCTCACTGCCCTCTGATTTGGGAGTTATGCCCTGAATACCAGGATTCAGGATTTGCTCAGTAATAGAAATAAAATAGAACTCTCAACTAAAATGGCAAGTGGCTCAGGCTCAAATGGTGAGGAATGCTTTTTGTATTACTTGGGTTTTGATGTCTTTCCAAGGAACACCTCCACTCAGATATCGTCCCAGCCAAAGCTGGAAAAAAGTTATCTCTTTGTTGAAACAAAGCTGTTTTAGGGATAATTAAGATGCAGACTTTCTGGGAATGCTAGCAGATGTTCTTTACTTACATAATGCAACTAAGAAAGGTCTTTCAGGTCATGTGTTCTATTTTATCGACTTCCTCCTTCCCTTCTGCAAAAATTGGAAATGGGAGCTACTTTTGATTTTTAAGGAGGCAGGTTTTCCCCACTGTTAATAAGAACTATGCTTGCCCAGCCAGCGTGGCTGTGGTTGAGTGTCAGCCTGTGGGCCAGGAGGTTGAGGCTCAATTCCTGGTCAGGCCACATGCCCAGCTGCAGGCTGGAGCCCCAGGGGGCTGGGGGAGGGGGTGCAGGATGCAGCCGATCAATGATTCTCTCTTATCATTGATGTTTTTCTCTCTCCATTCCTCTCTGAAATAAAAAAAAAAAGTATTAAAAAATAATTACACTTATATCTCAGTGCACCTTCATGAGTTTAGTTTTCTATTCTTTGAAATGGGTGACATGTACAAATGCATCAGATTGTTTGTACTCAAGTACTGACAAGGAACTGTGATGTAAAAAGTGTGATTTTTCTGATGTCTGTGTTGAGTACAAAAGGGAGAAGCTCCAGTTAAACCCATTGAGAAGCATCTGGGAAATCCAAGAAGCCGGGCTTGGAGCCAACACTTCTGTCTACATGTTTGCTGTTTGCTGACTTTGCACTAATGTGGGCTTTAAGCCAAGAAGAGCGATCTGATCACTCAAGACTTTCTTATAACTTACGATCACGTCTTTCCAGGGAAAGGTGTAGGGTTTAGGGCCAGGGATTCCTTAGAAACCACCCTTCCAATGCACCAGGATTGGTTGAGCCACTTTGTTTATCATGGGACAAAACGATTGAATGATTTACATGCTTAATTAACAGACGGGAATCTCTTTGATTGTCCTCCCCTTTAGCTTCACATTGGGTGCTTGTTTTGCTGTTAGATAATTTCATATTCGAAAGGGGAACATGGAGGAGGGGAAGTTGGTTTGGCTACATGTCAGCAGTTCTGGAGAATGTTTACTCAGGGAGGAGTTTGAAAACTGTGAGAATTTGGGGATTATCAGGACATTTTCACTTCTTTCATGTTGTTCCCACCCTACCAATGCTGACCTTCTAGCCCCTGCCAGAGAAAACTTGTAGAGGCCAGGACTCAAGCCATTCCTCAATCTGTATGTGTGGTGGTGGGAAAGGCCACCATGAACACAGCAAATGTAGATTAAGAATCTAATCTACATTTGGGGAAATCATTGCAATTCTTATTGGTTGCTTATGTGAAAAGACATTTTAATATGAAATTTAGCCTAGCAGTCCTTAGATAAAATATGACAGGATTTTTGTTTTGTTTTGTTTTTTTAACTTTGTAGTCAAAAATTCTAACCTTGATAAAGCATTGGAAAAGTTGTTTAGTTACTTTGTCTGGGGAGTCCTGGAAAAGGGCCTTCCAGGAGATTTTTTTGTACACTATCTTTAAAGGAAAACACTTACTGAAAACTCTATGGTAGTCTATTTGTTCAAAGGTTAGATTTGAGAAATTAGTCTCTTAAAACTGCATTTATTAGAATTCTTCGGTATTGCGCCATGAGGCCTTGAGAACCCTATCTTATCTATGTGACATGGCAGAAGGATTGTTAAACTGAAGCATGTGGTTCTCACAGAGCAAATGTTTTCTTCTAAACATTTTTAAAAGATAGCACCTCTTTTCTACTTGCGTCTCTTCAAGGGTTCAGAATGGGAAGAATGCTTCCCATGCCAGTGCAGGCTCTGCCTTGAGCCCCTATGTCTGTTTGATAATTTTCCTGGGGGAGGAGGGTCAAGGTGATTGCAGGCCTGTCTCCCCTTCAGACTTTTAGGAATGGGAGGTATAAGCAAAAGGGGACACCTTCTAAAAGGGAGGTCCAGCTCTTGTTGCTGAACTTATTCTAGTGACTTAAAAGAATGGGTGCTCCTCCCGCTTGGCACCTTCCTCTCCTTTGTACAGACTTCCATCAAGGCCTCTGCAACGCTTTCCCTTTTTGTCCCTGTGGGTGTGAGTGGGGTAAAGGTAAATACCAGGTTTTATGGCCTGGCTTAAGGAACACCTTTAATGGCGACCCATAAATACAAAGAATCAGCAAGAAGGACCCATGGTCCTGTATCCTCTCATTATTCTACAAAGAGTTGGGCAGAAGCCCAAAGCTGCCAGATCCTGTCCCCCTGCTAATCGACCTTCTATAGGTCAGTATGAGGATGGCCTCATCTCTGGGTCACAAATAATGTGAACTTGGGCACTGAAAGGACTGAGCTGGGAAATGCCAGGTGTGCAGCACCTGGAGACTTCGGGGCCTTGTTTGAAGTCACAGCTGCTCCTGCTTGGGGAAGGGAGCCACTAGGTTTGGGTACAGCCCCTCCTGCTGGGGAAAGGCTGGGCTTCCAGTCCCAGGCAGCTCACTGCCTGGCAAGTCAAGCTGGGTCACATCCACAAACCCTGTGTGTGCCCCCACATTTGGCAGGTCTGCGCACTCTCTAAGGTGAGGTACGGGGTTATTCATTCTTAGGTCTGGAGCTTCCCTGCCTAAAATCCCGGAAGAGGCATTCCATCTTTCAAGGCTCTAAGTGCATTTTGACTCACCCTGAAGTTTTGCAACGAGGACTTTAAACTTTACCTTATTTGATA